AAAAAAAAAAAAAAAAAAAAAAAAATTTCTAATATTCAGAAAATACTTTCAATTTGTAGGTTTCTTAACTTTACTACCTGGTAATACTGAATCAAAAGTGGTGGTAGCAATTAGATTTTCAGGTAGGGGCAACAGTGTTTTATGCCACTAAATTTCTGGAATTACCACTAATTTAGAGTGAAGAATACAGCTCATCTCAGGAATGTGGAAAGTTTGGATTAAGATGAAAACATCTTGAAGAAATTCTTTTCTAAATGAACAAATTCTACAGATTTTCTAGAAAAAGGGAATCTGAAATTCTTTTATGCAAAGAATAAATTACCAAAATACATTCTACAAAAAAAAAAAAAAAAAAAAAAAAAAAAAAAAATATAGGGAGAATTATGAATTGTGTATTCAAGTTATCCTCACCAAGGAAGACCAGGTTTCTGTAGTTCTCTAACATCACATCTGTATACAAATTCCGCTGTGTAGTGTCCAGGCAATGCCACTCCTCCAGAGAGAATTCTATGGCCACATCTCTAAATTGCAATGGTCCCTGAAAAACACTCACAGATTTTTACCAAGTGACAATGAGCAGAATTTTTAATTTGACTTAAGGTGAAAGAAATTAGAGAGTAAAGAGAACTGGTTCTGACTTATAGAACTAAAATTATCCAATAAAGTCATTTTCAACACAAAAATATTCTCTAATGCTTTCTCTAACTCTGAGAAAAAAGAGCAGTGTAAGATCTACAGCATCAGTTCAAATATGATATTTTTCTAGATAATAAAGGGCATGAACACGAACACGTACGTTTTTGAGTGCTATATTTACATCATACGAAATGAGTTGTGACTGTTTTTCAGACAGAAGAGACAAGTTGAGTTAGAAGGCACCTCTCACTTTTTTTTTTTTTTTTTTTTGACACAGAGTTTCACTTGTTACCTAGGCTAGAGTGCAGTGGTACTATTTTGGCTCACTGCAACCTCCACCTCCCAGGTTCAAGCGATTCTCCTGCCTCAGTCTCCCACATAGTTGGGATTACAGGCATGCACCACCAAGCCCGGCTACTTTTGTAATGTTAGTAGAGACGGGGTTTCTTGATGTTGGTTAGGCTGGTCTCGAACTCTTGACCTCAGGTGATTCACCCGCCTCAGCCTCCCAAAGTGCTAGAATTACAGGCTTGAGCCACCATACCCGGCCTAATTTTTTTTTTTTTTTTTTGGTAGAGGCAAGGTTTCCCTATGTTGGTCAGGCTGGTTTCCAACTCCAGAACTGAGGTGATCTGCCCGCTTTGGCCTCTCAAAGTGCTGGGATTACAGTGTGAGCCACAGCACCAGGTCTTTAGTAGTAATTTTAAGTAGGCTTCATTTAGCACCCGAGAAAGCAGGTATGCCCTAATAATTTTTTTCAGAACTTTCTGGGTAATAAATGATATTTTATTTAAATAAGCAGTTTCTTACTCTGCTCTGCATAGAGCTAAAGGAACACACAAATGGAGCCTCAACATTAATGTTCTCCATCTTTACTAAGGACAACAGTTTTCCCAAATAGGCATCTTGACTATCCATATCTTTCCATGTTCAACTTCCACAAAAGGAGCATTTTTAATATTACAAATCATAAATTCTTACTGAGAATTCTGCATTGCACATAAGAAGCTATGACAGACAAGGCAGAGGCAGCTCTGGAAAATAGGAAAGAAATATTTTTCAGAGACCCTTGACTATCATAAGAATTTTAAAAAGTAGTTGAACCAAACTCATTAGGGAAGAAAAACACAAGTAGAGAAGTAAGAGTTTGCAAGTACTAAATGCATGGCAGTCCAGGAGGCAGAGTGAACACAGCTCTTCACCTGAGACATGTTTACCAGAAGAAAAGCAATTTTTTTTCCTTTCTCCTCCTTCTTTGGAATTTCTTTTCAGATGAGATTCTCTGGACAAATTACACCTGCATCTTGAGAATATCTCCTTAAAAGTGTCAGTACCACATGTTTACCTGCCAACATGATATCAACTGTCAGAAAAAAAAAAGGCCACCCATTCCTGTCCTATAAGCAGAAGAGATTCAGGAACAGTGTGCTTCTCCATGAAGATAGAAATAAAAGTTTCTTCTTTCCTGTCGTCAAGTGACCTCCCCTGCCACAGACACCAGTAATTTCTGCTACAGTAATGGGAAAATGCTCCACACTGACCTGTCCCTACGAAACCCAAACACAGCAGGCCCTGTGACCACCCTTTAGTGCAAAGGTGGAACTTAACTCTCACGAATGTATCTTGAAGCCGTCATACCTGATTCTGGCCTCACCTAAGAGTCACATGAGGCACTTCATTAAAACAACATGGATGCTTCCACCCAGAATAATAAACAGAAGCTGTAGGGAGGGCACAAGAGATTTCTGCAAATTGGCCACGTGATCCTAATGAGAAGCCTGGGCTGATAACCACTAAGCTAAGCACTGCCTCTCAAGCTTTAATGAGATTATAAATTATTACTTGGTAATTTTGGCCCTACTTTCTGTAATATGATTCAAGTTGCCTGGAATCTACAATTTGATTCACAGCAGTTACAAGAAGATTTGTAAAGACAACAAGAGGAACAGAGAGTGGGTTGATACAAAGTTATTTGTCAGAAAGTTTTATTTATTTACAGAAATAACAGATTATTGATTAGATATATATCGTATATATATCATTATGGTTATGGTATGAGATATAGTGTCCAATGTGGCATAAGTAGTTTAATTTATACCTACTTGGGGCAATAGTGAACAGTTTCGAGAGATAAATACCTAGGTCAAAAAGGGAAGTAAGGCCAGGCGCGGTGGCTCACGCCTGTAATCCCAGCACTTTGGGAGGCCGAGGCGGGTGGATCACAAGGTCAAGAGATCGAGACCATCCTGGTCAACACGGTGAAACCCCGTCTCTACTAAAAATAAAAAAAATTAGCTGGGCATGGTGGCGTGTGCCTGTAATCCCAGCTACTCAGGAGGCTGAGGCAGGAGAATTGCCTGAACCCAGGAGGCGGAGGTTGCGGTGAGCCGAGATCGCGCCATTGCACTCCAGCCTGGGTAACATGAGTGAAACTCCGTTCCAAAAAAAGGGAAGTAAGACATAACTGCACTTTCATTTTAACATCTCTGAGTTTGATAACCAAAAGGACTTGCATTTTTCAGATAAAAGTTTTTTTATTTTCCAAATCTCAAGACCTGGATTCAAAATTTGAAGCTGCAGATTTAAGGCCTGAATGGCTAGAGTAGCAGCAGGTGTTACCTACATAATTGTGAGCATTTTAGCAAGAGGAGGAATGGGAAAGTGGAGATTCTCATGTCTAGATGTCTGCTCAGTGCACACGTGTTACTCTGATTGGGTTTCTGGGCTCCATGGTCTCTGAATCAGTTTCAGGTCTCAACATACAGTAGTCATTGAAAGAGGTAAAACAACTGCTGCACTGTGAAGTTTGTAGAAATTTGGTCTACCCTCTCCAGAAGTGACTGCAGACGACCACAGACACCGAATAGGCAGAGACACAATTCTGCCTGAGTATTTAGAGGACAGCGTGCACTGTGCGGCACAAGTGTGAGTTGACTGGAAGCCTGAGGGAGAGGTCCAACTTTAGTAAATTCTGGTTGGCACCTTATGTGTTTATATCATCTCTGGTAATCAAAGGAAACATTTTCTCCAGCCCTAGAGAAACTCCACAATAACAGAAAGAAAACGCTTTTATTACACAAATACACCTGAAAGTGACATGCATCATAGTCTATCTGCTTAAGAGATTGCAAACATAGCATGATGGTCACCATAATCAACTCACAAGTAGAAGAATTTATAGCACCATGTCATACAAAGTCCATCCTAAATTCACCTGGAGATTGAAGAGGCCATCTGTGTATGCTAATTCCTTATATTTAATGACAAACCTTTGACATCTTCATAACAGGAGGTGGTTTAGCAGCCTGAAGCCAGGTGCCTGAGGAAGGTAGGCTTTCACTTTGCTACAAAAATGGCTGAACAGGGTTCTATCTTTTTGGCTATTTACATTTTAGAGCAGTGGCTCTGTACTCCCTGGCCCTGCGCTACAGTGCTCCTGCTGGCTTTCTCCTGGTTGCTAGTGTCCTCTCCTGACCTCTACCATCTGCCACTGAGGCACAGCCCAGAACACAGCTCACATTTGCTGTGAACCCCATTTGTCACAGCAGCACTCTAGTGTCACATCAAAGAGTAAAGCCTGAGCTGCAGGAGGAGAGCCTGCAGGCCTTGTGGGTAGAATTGCACCTTCACAATAATGGAGGTGAAGGCAGTGTTTCAGCCTCAGTTTCTTCTTATAATGGTGACATGGAAAAAATACTGCTGAATTTCCAGCATGAGTTCAGAAAGAGATAGCTCCAAAAGTTCTCACTGTGACAGCCCACCTCATTCACACACCATGGGATAGTAGTAGGGCTTCTGAAACAGACACTGAAAGCATTAAAGAGAAAAACAAATCTCATCTGGGCGTGGCGGATCACGCCTGTAATCCCAGCACTTCGGGAGCCTGAGGCAGGTGGATCACAAGGTCAGGAGATCAAGACCAGCCTAGTCAATATGGTAAAACCCCGTCTCTACTAAAAATACAAAAATTAGCCGAGCGTGGTGGTGCGCACCTGTAGTCTCAGCTACTTGGGAGTCTGAGGCAGGAGAATCGTGTGAACCTGGGAGGTGGAGGTTACAGTAAGCCAAGATCAGGCCGCTACACTACATCCTGGGTGACAGAGTGAGACTGCGTCTCAAAAACCAAAACAAAACAAAAAGCATATCTTCATCTTAGCAAGATTATTTTAAAAGAAAAAAGTTAAAAAGATCTTAAAATACAGATGAGATATAACATTGATCAAGTCAGCCAGAAAATATTTTCCTAAAATTTCTCTCTGAACACCCAAAGTTCAGCTGAAAATATTGAAGATGGAAACAGCAAAAAGAAAGAAAAAAATTTAAAAATTTAAAAACACCCAAAGTGCACAGCTACTCTCAGCATGAGAAACACGAGAATTATAAAGAAAGAAGGCATATTTTCACAAGAATTTTATAAAGTTTATTTTCTATCTCTGCTGCTCTCTCATCTCCTACCCATTAAATGGGGTTTCTATACTGAAATACATCTAACAAATTCCAACAGCACTTTTCACGAAGAAATAGAACTGACTGTGTTCATAAAGTGGAATATATTAGAACTTGAAAAACAGCTAACTGCAGGGCCATTATGGTTTTTGGTTGGCCACATCACCTGTCTTAATTTGTTCTTTAATAGCAGCATTCCAATTCAGTGAAATGAAAGATACTAAAACCGTGTATACTCATAATTATCCCTATTGAATGAAGTAATAAAGATGTCAGACTAATATCTACTGTAACGATTTGGTAGTAAATTTTCTTTAGATATTAGATATAAATAAATATCGAAATATAAATAATTTTAATGAACTAGTCATAATGCATGCAGCATTTTTTTTCTTTTTTTTTTGAATGGAGTCTCACTCTATCACCCAGGATGGAGTGAAATGGCACAATCTCAAC